CTTTACGGCAGCGAATGTTGGACGATTTCCTCAAAGATAAAGAAGAGACTCGAGGTTACAAAGATGTGGTTCTACAGAAGGATGCTAGTGTTATCATGGACCGAGCGTGTGAGCAACGACGAGGTCTTAGAGAGGTTGAAAACAAGGAGGAGGCTTATACTTAATATCAGGAAGAGGCAGCTGAAGTTCCTGAGACATATAATGAGGAAGGAGGGCCTGGAGAATTTGATACTCACGGGTCGAATAGATGGAAAGAGAGACAAGGGAAAACAATGCGTGACATACCTGGAGGACTTAACCAAGTGGATAATAGAACGTGGTCTGGGGAAGGAAGCAGAGGGAAGCAACTTGTTGAGAGCTGCAAGGGATAGAGGGAGGTGGAGAGCCATGATCGCCTACGTCCTGAAAGGACATGGCACATAAAAAAGAAAAGACATATTCTAAGAAGAAATAAGAACCCCTACCCACTAAAAGTGCGTTGTGTTCTTATTGTTATTTTAACAGTGCAGATATGCTAATACATGTTTTGTTTTTCTCAACGATGCTTGTTGAGTCTAGAAGACACTCAAAATTGTGACGCTCATAGAAAATAGTAATCTGTTTATCTTACGAAAGTATTTTACTAATCATAATAAGTTGCCATATCCTCAGTTCACAGTTGAATTGTTTAGATGCAACCGTAAATTCTATGTCAACAGTTTCTTCTGTCGCACTTCTCGCTTTTGAAACCCTCTTCTGTATCCGTGCTTTCCCGCCAACGTTGATCTTCAAAAATTTAAATCCAATGTCTTCATCTATTGTCTTCTTGATTACTCTTCTTTTATTGTTCTTGCTCTCTAATAATATTTCTATTTTTTTTAATCTTTTACACGCAGTAACTCCTTGCATGAGGTGATGATGGTCTAGCGGTAAGATATTTGATTGATGTCAAATCAGTCGGGTTTCGATCCCGTCTTGAAGCAATAGGACGTCTAGCCACACTGTTGAGCCGCGAAACAGTCTGTCTGTGGATGACTATATATATATATATATATATATATATGTAACAAACGGGAGAAAAAACGTATTTAAGCAGATATTTATTTTTATGCCTGCATGTAACCAACAATTCATTTCTCTTGTTTAAAAGGACAGGGTTATTTAAGTGTTTTAAGATAATTAATTTTTTAACAAGACATAGGTTACATCTATTTCCTTTCCAGTTATAAGATTTGGCTATTTCTATAATATCCCAGGTAAAAACAGGTGTATTACCATCATTCTTCAATTGCCAGAAACATTTAGAGTGATTAGGGATGTTTTTGTATTTTATATTACCTAAAGTCATTCGATGATGGTAGAAACGAAATTTCTACGGATTTACAGTGGAACAAAAAAATAATATTTAACATCGTCAGCGGAATATATGCTAGCTCAGTATACAATATTGTCAGTCAAACATTGACAGTTCAAGGGACTGATGATATTTTTTTCGGCAACTGCATTTATTTTTAAAAAAATATTTTTGTCTTTGTTGGAAATATGTTTGTTTAGTATAATGTCGTTATGTTGGGATATAGATTTACCTATGTTATTGAAGCAGTTATAGCTGATCTTAAGATTATTTTTGTTAAAAATCTTTTTTAGTGTTGGTGAATTAAATTTATGAAAATTCTTCCGATATTAGTTTCAACATTACGATTAAAAGGTGGATTAAATCATATAATATTACGCTTACGGGTTTTCTGTTTATTTTTTACTTTTTTGTCTCTTTCTAAATACACGAAATTTACTTTATGATTCCGTGAAAGTATTAAAATATTTTCATAATAAAAATCTCAGGAGGATTTATGAAGCAGGTATAATATCCATCTCACGCACGGTGAATACTAGACCTGATTTCCCCTTTTTTAGCGAGATTGATGCTCGACAAGCATACACATAAGAATTTTAGAACCTAATAGAATTCTTTTCATTTTCTTTTTCATTTCAAAATAATCACAAACTTTTAGGAATACGTTATGAAAGCGTCGCCCATGTGACGACGGCGTGACCATGTTAGACGGAAGCCTGATCATTTTAAAAATTTTCAGTTATCTGATCTGAATAAGACTTGTGTTTTTATGTCCATCGTATTTGTCAATATTGAACTGAATTGTATTTTGATGAATATTGTCTTGAAAAAGGTTTATTAAACCGAAACGTCAGACGTCGACATTTCTTTCATTTTAACTACATTTAAGGATTTTTGTTTGTTTTTTTTCAAAATTTTCTTATATATATATATATATATATATATATATATATATATATATATATATATATATGCACAAATGTAAAATAATGAAAAAGAAAATTGCAACGTTCAAAACATTAATTTAAAACTTGTATGGGAAATTTTCAAAAAAAGAAAAGAAAAAACGGAAAATGAACTGATGTTTCATAAATTGCACTTTTAAATAAGATCATTTATTATCATCATGGTTAATTACCTGATGAGACGTTTTATTAAACGTCGAAACAAAATATACAATTTTGTAGTCTTTACTTTCATGTTCTAATGTAACAGTGTATAATATATATATTGTCAGCTGTCAATATACCACGTAACACCCATGATCTCTTAGCCTTGGAGCGGGTACAATAGAGATCAACGTGTTTTAGTAGATTTAGCAGGTTTCAATCTGCTTGTCTGAATCATCTTCAAGATGTGAGAGCAAGAACTAAACTGTCAGCCAATCTAACAGTGATCTCATATCACAATCCTCACTCTTGCTCCATATGTGGCCTGTTTTGTAAATCACTAGCCGGTCTTAAATGCCACTTAAGATCATCGCACAAAAATTTCATAACTGAATCAACTAATCTGTCAGATCCTCATACGTCGAAACCGACGGGAGTCCATCCATTATATATATATAAATATATATATATATATATATATATATATATATATATATATATATATATATATATATTAATCGTTTCCTTATGTGGGAAACATTTGGCCATATCGATTGAAATTTGTAAAATATTTCTCTCAAAAAAATAGGTTTCTGAAATCCAGTAACTGTTATCGCTCTTTCAAGTACCGATTGAGTTTTCCTTCCTTGTTTGAAGTCGTGTGGAACGTCAGTAGATTGATTGTGTTATGATTTTATTTCTAAGTTACATATGATATCTATTTTACTTTTTGCTGATGTTGAAAATCGTTAAATGATGTGGTTGCTGTTATCTGGTACAGTTTTTTATGATTTTGTAACGAGATTTAAAAAAAAAAAGTATGATCCTCGCCAAGACCTTACACGCTTCATCCGCTCGACGCCATTTTAAATCATTTATTTGAGAAAAGCGGTTACATACATTGCTGACAGTTTCTGAACGAGTTTAGCTCTATGCATACATTCATCTCGATCTGACGACGCTATTTAAGAACATGGCTGTTTTGGTTTATGCAGGAACTTACCTTGTTGGGCAAAACCACCTGTAGCACTGCATATTCTAAGTTCGATTTCACTGTTTTCTGCTCTAAATTTGTTATAAGTGTTTCATATTTATTCATTCAAAATCCTGAAATTTTATGATGGACCCAGGGCAGAAAATTAGGATGTGGGGTTAATAAGTACTAAAAACTTTAAATACCTCGCTGTATGGGTCTGTTATAACAAATTTAGAATACGGGATAAGGAAATTGAACATAGAATAGGCTGCACTATAAAACAAACTTACAGGTATAGAAACATAAATTGGAATAAAGACGTGAAAACTCGGAAATATGGTGAAAATGTCTATAATTTTTCATTTGTTATCGGTAGTTTTTCTTTGCCTTTTTTTACAAATTATTATTTTTTTTTCGTGTCTAAAAGAATTTTAAAACAACTCGTTACAACAAGTTAGAATTTGCTCAAACTTATGTTTCCGAAGACATCCTTGAGCGAAAATATCATTAATGAGTTTATAGCGACCTCAGATTTTGGCTCGAGATAAAAGCCCGACTTCCGATAGCAAATTTCCATGAATAAGGCCCCACCCCACCCGTTGAAAATATAACGTAATCATTTTTTTTTTTTCTTTTTTTTTTTTATAATGGCCTCGTACTTTTTATAACCAAGTAATGCTAACTCGCACTTACGGAAGCATACGCTAGACATGCAAAACACGCATTACACATGCGCAGAACACACTCAAATGCGCAACGGGCTTAATCATAAGCGAAGTACACGGCAGACTTAGCGCATGCGCGTACGTTAAGATACTCATTCACGCATACCCTTCAGACATATACACGTCGTACACAAAGCATATGATTAAGCGCACACACACACACACACACACACACACACACACACACACACACACACACACACACACACACACACACACACACACACACACACACACAAACACACACACAGACGCTCACATAGTCGCACGCAGAACGTAAACTATTAGCTCATCTAATAGGAGGGATGACCTTCGTGGATTTCCCGTTTTGATTGGCTATTGATTTTCTCGTATCTCTTCCACATCTGTGCCTTCTCCTCCTGCTTTTTTTTCTCTTCAACTGACATTTTCTTGCAGAAAGAGGAATTATAATAGGGGAGGAAGAGGTGGTGGGGATGAGGGAGAAACAGCAGTAGCAGTAGTAAAAAAAGGTTACGTACAAACATCCCTGAGAGAGTTGCATCAACAGAGAGGATGTTGGGGAAGTTTGGAGAAGCGAAATAACCATTAGTTTATTTGTGATGAGAAAAAAAGAGTTTCGCCTCATTGCTCTGACCCAGTAATGTTGGTTGGTATTCAGCAGAGACCACCTGCGTAGATTAGCAATTCTGGCATCTTCGACAGTAAAAGTCTGTTGAAATTTGGATTGGGGTGGGGTGGGGTGGTGGAAGGTAGTGGTGGTAGTGGTAGGGAGGAGGTGGAGTGAAAAAGTGGCTTTAATGAAGAAACAAACAATAGCAGAAAAGAAAAAACAAACACAATGGCAAAGAAAGAAAGACAAATAAATAAATAACAAATTAAAGATGAAGAAGAAGAAAAGAGAGATTGAAAAATAAATAAATAAATAAATAAATAATAATAATAAGAAGAAGAAGAAGAAGAAGAAGAAAAAAAAGGCAAAAAATGAATAAACAGACGATCAAAAAGTAGGAAGCCGGAAATAAAACGAAAAAGAAGGTAGAGGAGAATGATGAAAAAGAATGACAAGTTAGTGGAGAAGGAAGAGGTCTTATCAGAGAAGAAGAAGAAGAAGAAGAAGAAGAAAAGAAGAAGAAATTATAGAACAGCATCAGCAATAGAAGAAGAAGTAAAAGGAGTGGTGGAGGCGAAAAAGAAAGAAAGAGAAGAACGAAAAACAAACGAAGAAGAAAAAGAATGAAATGGAGGAAGAGTAGAGGAAGAGCAGCCGGTATTGTCAAATAATAATAATAATAATAATAATAATAATAAGCTGAGGAGAAAAAAAGGCAAAAAATGAATAAACAGACGATCAAGAAGGAGGAAGCCGGAAATAAACCGAGAAAGAAGGTAGGAGAGAATGATGAAAAAGAATGACAAGTTAATGGAAAATGAGGAGGTCTTATCAGAAAAGAAGAAGAAGAAGAAGAAGAAGAAGAAGAAGAAGAAGAAGAAGAAGAAATTATAGAACAGCATCAGTAGTAGAATAAAAAGAAAAAGGAGAGGTGAGGTGAAAAAGAAAGAAAAGAAAGAGAAGACAGAAAAACAAACGAAGAAGAAATTAAGAAAAGAATGAAGAAAAAGAATGAGGAGGAGGAGTAGCGGAAGAGCAGGAGGTATTGTCAGATAATAATAATAATAATAATAATAATAATAATAAGAAGAAGAAGAAGCGGAAGCGAAAAAGAAAAAGGTATAAGAAGTACAAAGAGAATAGCAGGGAAGAGAAAACTGAAAAAAAAACAAAAAAAAAATAAACGAAGAAAAAATACAAAGAAAGAGGAGAAAGTGTTGTTAGTGAAGAAGAAGAACTAGAGAACGAAGAAGTGGAAGAGGAAGTAGAGGAGGAAGAGGAAGTAGAGGAGGAAGAGGAAGTAGAGGAGGAAGAGGAAGTAGAGGAGGAAGAGGAAGTAGAGGAGGAAGAGGAAGTAGAGGAGGAAAAGGAAGAAGATGATTATACTTTATAGTTTGGATTTTTTTCTCTCGAGACTCCATTGCGTCACACATTATTAACTACTTTTAATTTTTCCTATGTTTTAGGAAACTTAAAAATTGAGGGAAATTTCCGTCTTTAATCCCACAGCCTTTGTTTCACACGCCTGGAAGATTTTTTTTTGAGACAATAATGCTTTTAGTAAAACAAATCTTACTAATTAACCCATAGCTGGGGAGAATAGGTTGATTCATACCTTTCCCAAGAGGTATTTGCGATTAAGTGAATATAACAAACCCAATGGGAATTGAAACTGGGTTCTCCGATTAACAATTTCGAGCCATTATCTATTACACCACCCGCACATACAATCATACAGCACCTGATATTCCCAAGTGGTCACCCATCTAGCTACTGACCAGGCTCGACCTTGCTTCTGTTCCCGTGCTAGTTTGCAACCTTTTAGAATGCAACGTTATTAGAAAGTGATTTTTGATACTAAAATTCAGTCAGTACAAGGCTCAAGAACCACTCAAGGTAGAGGTTACTGTTAAAATGGCTATGCTGAACCAGGTGTGACAGGTAGTGAATATTAGGAGGATATGGAGGATAGATACTGATTGACCCAGGAATTGAGAATGACGATTAAGATGAATGCTTTTTAAGAAAGAATTCCTGCTTGATTTTTTTTTTATGTTCGATATCAAATTTAGACATATTTTAAATACTGAGTTTATTGATGATAACAAGTCTTTTCCGCTTTTTCAGTGCGCTCTCTACTCTTCTGACATAACATTGTAATCTCACAATGAAGATATATATCGCATAAGGCCATTTCTGACAAAGCTGACGCCTTTGGCCTAAATTGCTTCTAGGGTTCTTGCTGGCGATGAGAAGATCCTGTCATGATATTTGGCAATGGAATCGAGTGCAAGTATATGGATTCACATCTTTTCAAAGTTCGTTTTCCTTGTTCATAACTCATACGCTTGCTTGCGTTTAAGTTTACTCCAGACAGATGAACACAATACACACGAGTAGAATAATAATAATAATAATAATGATAATAATAATAATAATAATAATAATGGTAGTCTAAGTTTATATTGATCAATTATTTATTGATTATATTTTACAATAACCATGGTAACGATCATGGCTACGGTTGGGAAAATCAATTAAGATTTGTAACTTGCACTTGATTTGCTACAAACAAATAAAAGGCAAATATTTGTTTATCTGTAACAAAATCTATTGGGAAAGTAACGCCTCTAGTTTTGAAGAGGGGATGCTGAAAAGTTCGCAACCCGACCCACTTGAAGAAAATCTAACCAAATAGTCAAAAATTATATACATGCGGATTATTGTTTTTTTTTTAATTATTTCACCCCAGCAAAGGTAATAAAGCCACTAAGGCACAAGGGGTTACTGAGTGTAAAAGAATATAAACAAAGGAAAAAAAAAGCATTAATGAGAAAGGCTAATAAAAGACAAGGAATTAAGAAGACAAAAGATAGCGATTGACACTGCATTTAAATTTTTGAAGATCAAAGTTGACTTGAAAGCAAGTCGCCGGAAGGGATTGTGCTAACAAGAAGTGTGAGAGAAGAAACTCTTAGCATAGAACTTACGGTTACATCTAACCGTTTCAATTGTAAAATGATGCAACCGAGTTGCCAGTTTGTACTGCGCTTAAATTCGTAAAGTTTCGTTATCAAAGTGGGAAGTTCATCAGAAAAAAAATTACTATGAAAATATATATAAAAAAGGCAGAGGGAAGCTGCGTTATGGCAGTGAGAGAGTGATTGAAGTCGAAATGTCTCTGTCAGGACCAATAACATTGCAGAGATTCTTTGGATTTTAAGTGTGGAACATTCAGAGAGTATCGTACTGTCTACTCAGTCGTAATTGTCCTAGCGAGACAAGCTTGCTGACCATTAAACTACGTCGAAGTGTCCAAAAATGATTTTCTAAGCGTCGCTCAGATGTGGCACAAGGCTGAAAGTAAGGTCCATTCTACTTGCAGTGGATGTGCGAAAGTAATTGAAAAACGTCATGACGAGTAAATCTTCGGTTTAGAAGAATCGGAAACATTTGTTAATGGTGTCTGAGTTGGTTTTAATTAAAGAAGGCGTACCCCTAATTGCAGAATCTGACACAAGGCCATTTAAGTAAGTGTTTCAACATATTTTGGGTTTTGCTGGAGATTTACCAGACCCTAGTTCTTTTACTGTAACGGGAGGTGGTGTCTTGTGAATGGATTTCCAATTTCAAAATTGATATTCTTTTTTTTTTTCTATTTTCGGGACGTAGGTATTCATATAACTTTATATCGTATGTCAGGTCTTTTTCTGCGAGATTTTCTCAGTTTTGTATACAAATTCTTTTTTATCCTACGTACTCTGCATTTCAATGTGATTCCAAAGATGGTCATATATATACCTTTTTTTTTTTAAATATGCCATTTCTTATAAAACTGGAAAAAAAAAACTAATTCAGATTTCAATACAAATGGGAGAGGTCTGCGACAAATCTAAAAATGGACAAAACAGAAGCCCGAGC